ACATGAGAGTGTTACATGAAGGTTTTCATAAATTCACATTTCAAAGTCTTCAAAATATCTGGTACCTATTGTAAGTACCTGCTGCCAAAATATTATTTCCAAGCAATTGTTTGGAATATTTATAGCTACATGATATAAGTCTGACATCTTGCTGGTGGTGCTTGAGATACCCAGATTGTTGCATTACTGTAAAATCTAAAATGACTAGCATGCTAATCTACAATTGCAGTTCTTTAATTTACTGTAAGTCTTGCCTTTCGTGTTGAGTAACCATTTAGTCGGTTACAAAATACATGTAATCTTGTAATTTTTCCCATAAATTGTAAATTGAATCAAAAGATTATAAGAGAATTCCCAATAATGACTGTGTCACTCCACTTGTTTGTACACAAAGCATGTACCAAGAGTATTAACTCAGGTTATAACCATGCCAAACTAATAGAATACTTTGCCTTAGATAAGTAGTGTTATTAGATGCACTGAGTACCATTCTATATCTGTAATTTGTTTTTCATCGATCACTTTTCATCTTAGGCATGATAGTTCAATTAATAGCTTCACCATGGTCTTGATTCTTGATTACTGTGTTGTCTTCTCCTCACTCTATCCCCAGTAATTACTGAGTATCTGCTGCAACTTTCACTTCTAGTAACTCTTGCAAGTACTTTGTACATTCCCATTTGTGTAGCTTTTCAAATTATCCTAAGTATACACAGAACCTGTATTTCAATCAATATTATCTCAATTTCTTAACTTTCTTACATTTATTTTGCCAACAAACTCCAGTTCTTAAATTTTAGCTGGTTTTTCGGTAATATTTGAGCAATTTAACCATTAATGTTGAAGGATTTATTTTAAATGTGCATGTCTGTGTTTAAGCTCATGTTTTGGAAAACATAACAATTGCCCCCAAATTGCACTTTTCTTATAGAGTATGGAATATTTTGACCTTCTGTGCTAACTAAAAGCCTTAATGCAAGAACTAAAACACTGTAAGTGTTCAAAAGTCTACATGGAACCTTTCCCCTCCCTCTCTTTGTCCCAACTTGTAATGACATGATTTTCTATAGTTCCCTCTTTCTAGTCAGTAAATTGTATCTTTTTCCTTTGTTTTTCCCTTACACTTTCTTCTTACAGTTGTGAATGAATTTTGTCATTTCTTGACAGACACCAGTTGTTTCTGTGTTAACTATACATCAGCCTGGGGCAAGGAGAAAGGAATTCAGACTTACAACATGGTGTAGTTTTCTGGATTACTGCAAGTTGAGATGTCCACTCTGCCGTGCCTCATTCCTTATTGCAATATGCATATTTTTTCAACAGGAAGACAGAATAGATATATTAACTTTTATTAAAAATGTATATGCAATTAGACAAGGGGATCTCAATAATAAATAAAATGTAGGCATTTAGGTTTGCCCACTGTGGTGTTCAAAAGTATACCATGGCCTTTACTGAAGTAATGAAGAACAGTTTCTCTTCTTGATGACTGTTACTTAATACTGTTGAGAAATGTCATTTGGGTTCTCAGCAGTAGTTTGTTAAGGGTTAGAATTACCTCTTAAAAAAATCAGTGACAAACCAAATACAGAATCAAAGATGCCAGACACATTGCTAAAACATTTGTAAGTCTGTTTGCACCTCTTTTTGTCCAGCTGCATGGCTTTGCATGACATGGCTCTTTTGGTTCCCACACTTCTTCCCCAGCTCCCTTCTTTACCTTGAATAAAGTGAAACTGAATTTTATTTGACTGGAATGCGATTATTACTTGTTTTCTTTATATATTGCTTTAATTAACAGGTAATACCATGACTCAGAATTTCATAGGTTGAAATTGACAAATTAAGGCAAATCCTGTCTCTGAGAACACAAGGTCAAGCTCTGATGCAGCCATCTCAGTGAAAGCAGAATACAGGCTGTAGTCCTTACCTTTAGTTTATTATAAGGTCAAGTTTTTAATAACTAGATTTACATGTATAAGCTCCCTTTAAAGTATTTTTTTCTGTTGCCACACTGAAAAAATATAGATTATCTTGCCAGATAATGAGATTCTCATGAAATTCTCTTTATTCCCCTTCAAAAATTCTGCATGTATGCCATTAGCTATTTATTATCTTTAGCACTTCACAAAATACACTGACATATCAAACAAATCACTATCTTCTGTTCTGAGTTATTTTTAGCCATCTGTCTGCAAATAACAACACACACTAGACAATGCAAGACTAATATTACTATGTAATGGTAGTTAAATAATACTTACAGCATATACTTAAATTTGAACTGTAAACCCTAAGTTTCTTAATTATTCTGCTGATGTAAAGCAGTTTCAAGAAATACATTATATACCTTATAATAGGATTGTGGCTTGTTTTTGAATAGCTTTATATCCATATGACATCTAAAGAGATTTGTATATATTTGATTTGTATATACTTCCTGATACTGTACTAGCTTCAAGAATGAGAATACTCCAGAAAACTTTTCAGAAGATTTTTTTTTTTTCCCCTTGAGCCTTTCACATATGAATTCCGAAAAAAAGAACTACCTAAAGACTGCATCGCTTGGAATCACGTAAGTAATGTACAAGGCAAGAATGTGCAGTGTTTCTTCAGCAATCATCAATTCCACAGTACCTTTTTCCAACATTAAACCCTCCTAGTTGTTCCCTTTCCATCTGCAGTGACTAATCTTTACTGAAAATGCAGTAAAAACTAAAGCAGCAACCAGTACCAATGAAATTCACCTACCAGGAGCTAATGATACAGGAGGCTAAAGTTCCTAGCAATTAATTACTGAGAAGGTTGGGGTTTTTTTCCATCTTGATCAATGTATCTGTAACTTCTGCCAAGGAAGGGTCTCAGGTTCTAAGCTTAAATGCCAGACTGGGTGAAGGACCTGTCTGTCTCACTAATGTGTGCAGATTAGTATGGAAATTAGTTCAATACTGTGGAAGGCTTGGGGTTGCTTTTCCTTTTTTTATTTTTTTTTTTAAGGAATTGAGATCATGTATTACAAAAGAACAGGGTTATTAAATGTGGGAACTATTGGTGAAAAATACTGCTATTATGCATTGTGTATTTGCAATTGTCTCGGGTATGGTGCAAAGGGTTTCTGACTTGGGTTTATTTTTCATGTGTATCACAGTACTTGTTTCATTATATAGATCAAAATTTTGCAAAGCATTTCACATTTTCATGTGAAAATATTTGTGGTTTACATTGTCTTCTCTTGAAATTCAAATTGTCATAGTTTGGTTATACGGTTCTTGAATGTCTTACGCTTTTCTGTCTAAAACTGAACAAATTAGTAGAAAGCTTTTTTTCTCTGCCTTTAAATCTATTACTCAGTCAAGATTTGCCTATTATTATTCTTAGCAGTGGATTAATTATTAATTTTCTGGCCAGTATATGCAAGTACATACATGCATCACCTAGGAGCCTGAGTTATTTGACCTAAGAAATGCAACCATGATCTTGGTCACAATTTTTGCTTAATGTGCTGGTTTATTTCATACTTTCTGTCACTCCCCCTTGGCTGCTTCTCATTCAGGAAGTGTCACTGTACCCTGTACCTCATCCCACTGTTCCCTCCGTGCTGATTACTGTTGTTCACTAGTATGGGCACAATATACAGGTCAGCATCTTTCCCTCACAGAAAAACATTAAAACCGTCTAAGAACAACCTTCTACTGCTTGTTCCAAAACACTAAAAAAAGAACAAATGAATCAAATGTTACAGGGTCTTTTCTCCTTAACAACCAAAACCAGCTCTGGGTGTCCTTTACTTTTTCTGTACTGCTGGACAAGAGGGATCTGTGCTGTTTATGTGAAGCAGTAAACATTTTTTACAGACAGTGAAAGGTCAGGGTGTGCTTTTTGCAAGACTGAACTGAGAGAGCATCAACCTGAGTGAATACACAGAAGTGCTGGGCAAGCTGAAAAATCAGTTTAACTTGACTCTTTTGTCCTGAACATAACTTGCTATTTTATGCTGTTAGTAAAAACTACTGCTATAATTGTCTTGGAAAAATGGAATTTTCATGTATTTAAACAAAGGAGAGTCTCAGCACATCGTTTGGGCTGAATTACTGCTAATTACAGACTGTTCTACTCTCCTTCCTTAAGAGTGTTGCTGGGTTAGCTGATCGACTGTCAATGACTACCTCTTGCATTGGTAAAAAGATTTTCAAGATTGCCCTAATGTCTTTATCATTTTGTTTGAAAATTTTTGACCCAGTGACAGAGGATTGACTGAGATACTAGTGGTACTGGCATCTTCAGTGGAGAGGTTTGTAGTTGGACAGGGAGTTGAGGAGACAGGAAAATGGCTGGAAGTCAACAAGAGAGGCTTTATTGCTCCTTAATCCATGCAAAACTACCTGTGAAGGTAAACAACAGGAAAATGCAAAGTGCAGAAAGCAAGTTATATTAATGACTTGAAGGAATTTAAGGCCTAGTTTATCACAGTCAGCTGTGGATGATCCCTAAGCTCCCATGGCAGTGAATGCTGAGAACGTTTGCTAAATGCCTTGCTGTTTGAGAAGCACTTCCCCTTCAGAAATGAGTAAATTCCATGGACTGACTACAAGATCTTAATCTGTTATTCCTTAACCGTGAAAGGTATTTTATTTCTGTAAGGCACTTGAACAAAAAGGCAGTGATATGCAATAATTAGCCTTTTCTAATGTTTCCTAGAACATGAACAGGTTTGTTTCATCAGGGCTACTGAGAGATGCTTCTAAAAAGTGTAAGTTTACCCTAGTCTTTCAACTACATATCTCAGAACAAATGTTTTTATTTCACATAAAAATGTGTAGCACCTAAAATAAGATTAACTTGTCATTTTTAAGGCATCACTTTATTTCACTTAGAAGTTTGAAATTTTATAATCTGTGATTGTAAATGCTAAATAAAAAATTTCAAAAAAGAAAAAATCTTAAGAAAATACCAGCTGACAGCAATGTAGTTATGTACATCCTTCTAAATATACTTAATTCCCATAGCTATAAAAAAAAATAACTCACAGGCAAAACCAGTATTTTAAATGTATAGCTTAAAAAGTAAACTTTGAAACTAATTCTTTAAAGTTCTCTTAATCCATACTTCACTAAATAGAAATCCTCCTCCCATTTCTGTACATGGTATTTTAAAAGGCACTTTTTAATTAACACAGGCTGTGCTATGAATAAGCCACACTTTGTGTAGCTTATGTTTTTTCTTTAAACCAGGTTAAACTCCCTCCACTTAATTGCACTGTGCTTGACAGTGGCGAAGATGAAATGAATATTCTCTGTGTCTGTGGCACAAGTGAAGTGAGAATAGATTACTTTCTCCTTGTCTGGATTCTGATCCTGATACAGCTTCAAAATGAAGTCTCTGGCAGCTTTGACATCTTGTTTAGGTCCTAGTCAAAAGCAGAATCAGTGGTTTTGAACAGTTAAAAGCTATGGGTCAAGGAAGAAACATATGGACAGTATCTTAACAGTCTAATTTCTTAATTAAATGTCAAATTGTCCTGAAGGCATACTCCCTTGTTGGCATTTTCTCATTCATATGTTACTGGAACAAAAGCTGTTACAATGCTGCTTTCTAAAATGTGTGGAGTATGCTTTTTTCAACAGTAAACCTTACAGGACAAAGTAATTTTTTATAAAAACCTACACAGCTGAAATTACCTAGCATATAATAATAGTTTTCTACATTATTATAGTATGTCAAAGAAAATGAGAGAAATTAAATTTTTTAAAACACACAGTAAACAGTAGTCTTTTTGGCCAAGAGAGAGATGGGTGTTTTCTCTCTAGTTATGAAATCATTCTAACTCTCTTCATTAATTCTAGGATTCAATGTGATACATGTCTTGCAGAACATAGTACTGTATTGAGTAATAGAATACATCTGTGATTATTTTCACCATTCTTTTGATGACTTTATAAAGTAACATTTGTTAAGGAAAGTTAACTGTGGACTTTTATATAGATAAGTTATAAAAAGAGTGCAAGACTGTACTATGGGTTATTACCATATAAAAAGTTGGATTAATATTTCCTAAGTTTCCCCCCCCCATATCTTGACTTTTGAGATCAGAGAAGAAAAAGGTGCTTCTTCTCATAAATAAACAGTGATTGTGCCACTTCAATGGTAACAGAAAGGCTGCAAGAAGTCTCTTAAGACTCTGTCCACAGTGGTCCAGTAAAAAAATAGTGTTCCAGTAAAACAGAGTAACTTAAGTTTGTATTTTAAAAAATAGAGCAGAAAAGCACAGATATCAAATATATAGCATAATTCCACTTTCTGTATTCAATTTAATGAGGAAAAACTAACTGGTTTATATATTAGTTTTAACTTTGTGAAGATAGTGTGGGATAAATGCTTACCTGTGTATTCTGGAAAAGTAACTAAGGGAATACATGATTTTTTCTTCTAGAAGATCTTTTTTATTTAAAAACAAAATTACTGAAGAATTCAGAAACCAGGGATATGTAATGATAGTTTTAAATAAAGTTTTGCTATCTTCCATTTGATTCTACAACAAAAATTAATATGAAGTTACACTCTCTAGACAGTAGCATATATAAATCACATCACCCAGAGATCATAAAAGTTTTTTCAAAAACTAAAAACTAAAAAAAAAAAAAAAAATATATTACTTTTATTAAGTAAAATTGCAATGCATTGGTTGATCATACTCTTCATATTCTATATCCTTTTAGTCACTGGATCTTGTATCACCACTATGAATGCTATGATGGCATGTGAAATCAAGGTAAACCTTAGTAATATAAATTATAAGAATTCTTGTATGAGTTAATGAGCAGCCACGGACTGCTGCACTGGGAAAGCCTCTTCTGACCTCACAGTGAGAGCTGAAGCAGGTCATGTCAGGTCAGATATCTGGTATTAACATACTGTAACATAATGAAAGGACAAGAGCGTATGTACTCATCTATACTAGTAATAAAGTCTGTCCATTTGAGAGATGTAAGGAACACCAAATTCAGACATTGCTGTTTGGAGTCCCTGGGGATAAGCTTGTGATGGCAGTCAGTTTGTTATATATTTCCTGATGTCCAAAGTGTGCATAAAAAACATTCAGGATAATGAAAGGAAGAAGAAAATTACAGTTACTGGAGGTTGTTCATGCATCAGAAGATGACAGGAAATTTTGAAAACTCTACCTCATCTACAGTGGATGTTGTGACATTTCAGCAAGTAGGATATGATTTTCACAGTTCAGACAGATCTTGAGAAAGCAATCTGTAAGGGCTTTGGGACTTCAGAGGTCAGATGGTATTGAGTGTTTTTGAAGGACATTTGAAGGAATCCTTATACTGCAGGACGTAAAGCAAGCACTACCAAAAGTAATGCAGTTTTACTAATACGCTTTTCCCTAATTGCCTACTATTTTCTTTTTTGCATCTTTCTCTACAACATATGGCTACTGCTAATGATGCACTCTAGAACAGATGGGAGAACTCATGTTTTCTAACCTTGGGAAGAAAGTGAATTTTAAGTTATTTTGGTTTAATTTTCCTTAATCACTGCACAGGTTTAATTCTGAAACATCAGAGACTTAAAAACAAACAAACAAACAACCTAACTAAAGATGACTGAAGTACTAGAAGAAGTATTTTTACTTGCTTAAAGACCTTGCTACTCAAGTTCTCAAACATGGCTTAAGTGATTTAAAACAGTTTAAAATCATGTTTCGTCTTTTAAGGTAGAGTTCACTTTTACAGGAAGGCTGCTAATTTAATACAACTTCATGACTGCTTGATCATCTTCTTAATGTAATTCTAGTATTTACTAATGCTATTATGAAGACATGAGAATGCTGTCTTAAAAAGCACGCATCTTTTTCTTCACCTTATATACCCCTGTTCCTTACCTCATTGTCATATTCTGCCAAAACTTGATCATATTCACTCAGTGCAACTAAGAAAATGATGGAAGTAACATTTTCAAGACAACAGATCCACTTCCTTGTTTCTGACCTTTGGGCACCTACATCCACCATCCTGTTAAACAAGTAACATCCTGGTTATACAAGCAACATATTAGTCATTTTCATAATATACTTTAAGTATATCTAAAGGCCATATAATAGATTGCCTACCTGAGATAAGCTTGAACTGTGAAAAGTGTATCTTAACAATGTATGTTCTGTTCAATAGTTAAACTTGGTTCACTTGCTGTAGTGATACAACTTTCACTGTTCTTTAGTACTGTTGTTCATTAAGCTAAGCATAACACAGCCACTTGCTCACTACCTGCCTCCCACTGTGGGTGGGCAGGGGGAGAGGAAAGAAAGAGTAAAAGCAAGAAAACTTGGGTGTTGAGATAAAAAAAAAACCAACAAAAAAACAAAAAAAAAACCCTAAAATGTTGAATAAGTGAAGGATAAGTGGAAGAAGATATAAAGAAAACAAGTAATACAAAAGCAATCGCTTACCACTTCCCATGGGTAAACTGATGCCCAACCAGTTCCTGAGAAGATGGCCAACCTCCCTAAAGCCCTCTCTCTTCACTTCTACCACTAAGCATGATGTTGTGTGGCATGAAACATGTCTTTGGTTAGTTCAGGTCACCTGCTTGGCTGTGTCCCTTCCCAACCACTTGTGCACCCCCCAACCTATTCACTGTGGGGCAGAGAGACGGAGAAGGCCTTGGTGCTGTCCAAACGCTGTTCAGCAGAAGCTAAAACACTTCTATGTCATCAGTACTGTTTTGATTACAAATCTAGAACACAGGACCATATCAGCTGCTTATGAAGAAAATTAACTTTATCATTACCAGGCCCAGTACAAGTGTATAAACCATGAGGCATGATACAGAATACAATGCTGATTTTTTTTTTTTTTCTGTGTTTGTAGAAGTTTTAGCAAAGGCAAATGTGAACACATTAAATTCTGTTTCTCCACACTGTTCAGAATCTCTCTTGGCCGCCCCCCAGAAAATCCCAGTGTAGTCATATCTCGCTACTCAAAACAAACAAAATGTTCACAAGTATCTTAGTTCCACATCAAATTCATATGGATTTGCAGACAGTTAAGCATACCCCTCACATTTTACCCAGGTCAAAGTGTTCCCTAGAACATTCTATTTTCTGGGAAAAACAACAACAGAATCACGGTTAGGCTGGTTTGACCGTGTTATCAGAGTGGGTTCTGGTTCTGTGTTGTAACTGCAGGTAGGTGTTTGTTTGTGGTGAAATGGGTGGTTTGGTGGAAGAACATCTATAATCCTGCTAGTGGGAGTGCTGCAATTTTGAAATTAAAAAATAATGCTTTCCCCTAGAAAATCAGTAACCCCACCTGTTGCAATAGCTTGTCTAGTAGCAGATAAAATAATTTTAAGGGGCTTCTCAAACTTTCTTTCAACTTTATAAGTATGTTTGTTTCTCTCAATTCCACTGAACATAATTTTTTTTATTATTATTATATGGCAGGAAGAATAGAACTATCTACTGTCATGACCTTCCATGATTTTTACCTCTCCTCCTTCCCTCAGCGTCTTCAACTCCCTTCACTAACTTTATCTAACTTAAAGTTGTAAACTCACTTGAAGGCTTTAGCCTATCTATTAGGGCCCTCTCTTCCAAACATTTATAGTCAGGAGGCAGAAACTGTTAGATCTAAATGGAATTAAACTACAATCATGTATGAGCACACATGTTACTACAAATACCTTGACTCTGCATCCTCCCCATCCAAGGCTTTTAATTAAACTAATAGTTCAGAATACACGGTAATTGGAGTGCTTGAATTGTAAAGCTTTTTTCACGTAAATTCAAAAAGGAATGTTTTGAAACTCCACTCAGATTACTATAACTCTGAAGACTAAAAGGGCTGGAAATACATACAAGACTCACTGAATGCAAAAACTTAAAGGACCCTAGAAGTAAAGTTACAGCAACTACTTTCATAATTGTATACTGAATCATTTGACAGGCAGTCTTAACTAAATACAATATTTTCTAAATCGAAAGGATACCTAATAATTCCTGTAGTTGGCACTCGGACTCAAAGAATATCTTGCTGAGTTGGCACAAATGAGGGCATATCAATACGATCAAGGTCAGTAAGATAACTGAAAAGTTAAATATACAACAGAAACAAGATTAATACACTATCACAAGTAAATCACACAGATTCAAAACCAAAGTACTAACCAGTAATCACAAAAGTGTTCCCAGAAAAGCAGCTAAATTGAAATTCGGTTGTACATGGCCTTAGCACAGTTGTTGCTGGCATAAAACAATAAAACCCTTTAATTCAACTGAGACCTACATGTACATTTCAGACAGAATGCTACAAGTCGCAAGAGATGATGACTGGCTGTTCTATAGATAATCAGCCCACACCCAGAAAGATAAATTTTGTTTGCATAACCTTTGCTATTACCCCCAAATAAACACCAGAATTAGGATTTGGACACAAATATAAATACTGCTCATAGCAATAATGTTTACCAACAGTACTCTATCCCCTGCAACTCACCTGTGATGCTAAAAAAGGACACAAATGTGAAAGGTTGGTGCACAAACTTCACGAAAGTTATTAATGGAAAGCACTGCAAACATGAATGCTTCAAACGTATATATTCTTAATATAAAATATGATGCATTTAGTTTCTCGTCTGCCCATGCAGTCGTTCTTAACTCTACCCTCCTCAGTTTCACAAGGCTCTTGTGCTTTTCCTGGCTGGAATTAAATTCTATGATGACAGTTTGTGAGCAAGACTGTAAGAACCGATGCCTGTTAGTCCTCTCCGCGATCTATCTTCTCACCACTAGAGGGCAATATTAGATCGTCCAAAATCCTAACATGTCATACAGAAAGCGTAAAGTAAGGTGTATTCCAAATCATACAACATAGCTGTAGCACAAACCTTCCTTTTTTTAAGCACCAATTCCTGCCTTTAGTGGAAGAGGAAGGGTGTCCATGTATTCTCCCCTTGCTGCCCAAGCATCCCTCACATTTGGATTCCAAAATCAAAAATACCCACCATGTTATCAATTACTCAGAAAATATTTCTTTTAAGATCAAGAAAATTCCTCCGCTTCAGCATGTAGCAAATTGTTATTGAGATCTCAACTGTAATTAACAGAAAAAGGAAGTTTTAATAAAATTTAAAACTGATTTTTAGTTGTGGCTGATTTCTTATAAAATGAGGCTACATTAAGTGGCATCTTTCTTCTGCAATGTAGAATTATTTAAGAATAAGTCAAAAAACTGTCATGAATGTTAATGCTTAACACACAGGAACAGATTGCCTATGCGTAACCATTATGAGTTAAAGTTTACCATAAATGCTTAATCTCAATGTTCCTTGCTGAAATTTAACCCTGTTACTTCTCAACCTTGGCAGAAACAGAAATGTGTTTTCTGTTCTCATGAAAAAAAAAAAAAAAATCACAATAAAATTCTTTAAAAATTCGGGAACAGATTTATCTTCCTATTTAGATCCTAAACTTTTCACGTAACTGAACTGTCTGACCTCCCTGCTCGTTGTCAATATATTTTGTACAGCTGTTTTTCATGATTTCTCCCAAGAGAAACTCAGTTATGTACCAGCTGTGTTGACCTCAGAACTGGGAGGGATGATGGTTCCAGGATGTTCAGAAAGCCTAAAATTAGTCATCACTCCACTTTAAATTTTATTGTCTACCACAAGCCAACAGAGACACAGGTATAACTAACAAAATCAGAGTGAACCTATCTCTTCATTTATGAGCCAGTAGTGTGCCCAGGGGGCCAAGAAGGCCAATGGCATCCTGGCTTGTGTCAGCAATAGCGTGGCCAGCAGGGACAGGGAAGGGATCTGACCCCTGTACTCGGCACTGGTGAGGCCACCCCTCGATTCCTGTGTTCACTTTTGGGCCCCTCACCACAAGAAAGACATTGAGGTGCTGGATTGCGTCGGAAAGTCTGGTGAAGGGTCTAGACACCCTTCTGAGGAGCCGCTGAGGGAACTGGAGTGATTTGAGAGACCCAGAACAAATATCCTTCTCTAGAGAAAAACGAGGCCTTCAAGAAACATGGACTGAGAAAAACAGCCTGAGAAAGAGATAAAAGTTGAGGCCCTCTGAGCTAAGGAATGCCTCAAACACTTGCAACACGAAACTATAGTCACGGGGTAGATGGTCTGGATGTCGAAGCTGATAAGGCTGCCTGAAAAACACAGGATGCAGTTGGAGGAGGGAGCCCTGTGGAGACAGGACGGCTCTGCTCTGGGGCACCTGGGCAAATTTCAAGGGCCATCTGTCTGGTGAGTGACCTTTGCTTCATTATCCACGAAATGCATATTAAAGTTAACGCCCCTCAATATGCTAATGAGGACTAACATGATCATGCTAATTACATCATCCCATGAAACACCGTACCCCTCCCCGTACATGGGATACGTAGGTCTGTGAGTCGACTTAGGGACCAGACCCAAGGAGAGTGTGTATAAACTGAAGGGGAGGAAAGTTGGTGTGCCCAGGGAGTGCAGTGAAGCAAAGAAGATGGCTGCCTCCTGGAACCCTCACTGGCTGGATCGACACAGAAACCCAGACCAGTGATCTCTGTTCCTCTATTCTCTCTATCCCCCCCTTTCCTTTCTCCCCTTTTTCCTTCACTACCATTAAGAAATGCCAGCCATACTGTATTACTTGTCACAACTCGTTATATACTTAGCCAATTATCTTGTGTCCAATTAGTACATTGTCGGTAGTTAATAAATGTTTGGACTTTAAGATGTGTCTCACCGTTGTCCGCTCCATTGGGGATTTCTGAATCTGAGTCACTTGTCTCCCTCAAATGAGCAGGACATGACATGTTGTTTACTCTGGAGAAAAGGAGGCTCAGGGGAGACCTTATCCCATTCTATAAAGTACCTGAAAGGAGGCTGTAGCAAGATGGGTGTCAGTCTTTCTCTCCAGAGTGATAGGATGAGAGGAAATGGCCTCAAGCTGTGCCATTGGAAGTTTAGACTGGATATTAGGAAAAATTTCTTTACCAAAAGGTTGTCAAGCATTGGAACAGGCTGCCCAGGGAAGTGTCTGAGTCACCATCCCTGGATGTGTTGAAAAGTTGTATATATGTGGCGCTTAGAGACATGGTTTAGTGGTGGACTTGGCAGTGTTAGGTTAGACTTGATGACCTTAAGTGTCTTTTCCAACCTAAATGATTCTATGATTAACTTCATTAAGTCTGGCTTGTCACCGTAATTATGCAATGTACTTACAGTTTAGCAGTCTGAGGGTTGGTACTCCCTCCGTCTATCGTAGCATTCTTTAATTCCTGGGTCTTCCCCAAGCTTTTTGACTACTTCAACTTGTTTTCTTTCCAGCACTGTCACTTCATCCACTTCCACTTCTCTGATCATCTGAGCAGTCTCCTAACCAGTTGAATGATTACACTATTGTGAGAAACAATTGCTTTTGGCATGCAGTACACGGTCTCCCCTCTATTATACTCTTCCCATCAGTAAGAAATGAACCCATCAGAAAAGAACCTAGGAGAAAATAAGCAGCTTTAACTGTTTATTGCATTTAATGTTTCAAGTCAAATGACTGCTAGTGAATGTTTCAGTTGTCAGTCTTGCTTACTGTCATCCAGGTGTAATTTTTCTTTTTAAAAAGGACCTTGGCAAAGGTCAGAAGGAGCTTTAAACTTACTGGTTTCAAACTCACTAAATTTTAATACCAATTTATAACAGTGGTAATGTTTCCAAAACTCTAGATACTTTCTTTAGTACAGATATTTTTGGTTTGTTTGCTGTTTTTGTTTGTTTCAGGACAAACCAGACATTGATCTAAAATAAAGAGTCATCAAACAGACATCAAATTCCTACAAGCGATCTTTGTTTAATGCTGATCTCAGTGAGACACAGCCAAGGTACTACTCTATGGAAAGACTTTTTCTTTGCATTCTGCTGTTAAGTGTAAGAGGTATGGCAAAGATAAATCTAAGTTTTGCTTTTAAGGCATGCAAAAGTATCTATCATTCTGCAGCTAATGGTGCTGCTTATTCACTAGAGGGAAGGGATGTCATCCAGTGGGGTCTCGACAGGCTTGAGAGGTGGGCTCCTGCAACCCTCATGAAGTTCAACAAGGCCAAGTGCAGGTCAGGGCAATTCCCCAACATCAATACAGACTGGGGGATGAATGGACTGAGAGCAGCATTGTGGAGGACTTGGAGATATTTGTGGATGAAAAATTACTTGCAGTCCAGAAAGCCAATGGCATCCTGGGCTGTGTAAGTGTTGCAGATTGAAGGAGGTGATTCTTCCCCTCTACTCTGCTCTGGTGAGACCCCACCTGGAGTACTGCATCCAACTCTGGGGTCCCCAGTACAAGAAAGACATGAACCTGTTGGAGCAGGTCCAGAGGAGGGCCACAGAAATGATCAGAGGGCTGGTGCACCACTTCTTGAAAAAATATGAGGGTTGTCCAGCCTGGAGAAGAGAAGGCTCCAGGGAGATCTTATTGTGGCCTTTCAATAATTAAAGGGGGCTTGTGAGAGAGATAAAGACTTTTTACTTGGGCCTGTAACAAAAGGACAAGGGGAATGGATTTTAAACTGAAACTGGGTAAATTTAACTTGGACATAAGGGAGAAATTCTTTCCTGTGAGGGTGGTGAGACACTGGAACAGGTTGCCCAGCGAGGTTGTGGATGTGGCATCCCTCAAAGTGTTCAAGGTCAGACTGGATGGGGCTTTGAGCAACCTGATCTAGCGAAAGATGTCCCTGCCTAGGGCAGGGGGTTTGGACTAGACACTCTGTAGAAATCCCTTCCAATCCAACCCATTATACTATTGGAAGTGTTATCTTCTGTAACCGTCCCACTAGATATATACTGATTTTTGCTAATACCTTTAGTGGTCTGGAAAAGTATTTTTCTAAAATGCATTTAATATTGAAATATATTAACTTATATAGAGCTTGGAATATAACAAATTGGTTACAAAATTCAGTTTGCCAACACTTTTTCCAGTACATTACTAGATATCATCTAGATTTTAACTTACATCCTCTTTGAAAATTAAATAAGCTTTCTTCCTGACCTCTTAAGTCACAAATAGTAATGCTGCATACAGATTTGGATCCAAAGCAGTGAATTTTCGGGTCTGAACTAGAAAATCTGAATACTGATAAAACTGTTAATCTAGTAATTCAAAACAAGATAAAGATCAGACAGAGAACAGGACTTTGGCCGTTATGGAGTCTTTAAGTTATCATGGGCAACTGCAAAACTATGAAACATAGAGCTGAATGCCTCAAAAGCAGTTTCTCCTTGCTTGGTTCAAATAATTTTAAATATTGTAAATCTCCAAAATATTGTGAACATACTACTCTTCTGAGTTATAATATTAAAAATACTTACAATGCAGACATAATGCCTGGGCAAATTCTCCATAATTGGAATGATCTGATTTTACAGGTATTCTGTTACACAAAACCAAATGCCAAGTCTTTTGATTTTTTGTTAAAACTTTTTTTTTTCTTTTTTAAATAGTAGTTAAGAGCTTTAATGAATGTAAATTAGATTAAAATACATTATGATTTAAACATTCCTGGTATTTCTTGTAGATTCTTTACAGATATAATGTAATCCATATTGGTTTTTTACCTCAATTTTACACAGCATAATTACATTAGCAAGACAGGTAATATTGTCGAATAAATTTTTCTCTTCTCTTACATCAAATGTTCATGCTGATGTAGAACTACATAGGAAGAGCTTTACCTGTGATTTATACTTTATTTAGGCACTGTATATGAGACAAGAGTTTAGACAACCTGTGTGCTGCCAGTAAATTTTCTCCATATTTTCAATCTTATCTGCTGAGAGATATGCCAAATAATTTGAATAATGAGGCACTCTTCCTTCAATTCACTAAAGTCACAGAACAAATACCCTTTTCTAGAGAAAAGAAAAGGCACTGACATGCAAATATCCATCACAGCATTTTGACTGGAGTTGACTTAAGTTTCATTCCATGCTAAAGCCTTGCATATGTTTTACAAGGGCTTCATGTAATAGCAGCTGCAAAACCAGTTTTGGTATCAGGTCCTTGTGAAAAGAAATGGTGTGTGTCTACATCTGCAAACCTCAGTTCCCTTATGTGGCCAAGTACCTTGTGACATCAGGAAAAATCCTTTTTGGGACTATAATTCAGATTAATCTTTCATTTCATAGTATATAACAAATAGAGTTCAACACTGACAGCTAGTCTCATGCTTGCAATTCAAAGAAAAAAAATCCTACAATGAAGTGAAAAATTACTTAAATCACCAGGTGATTTTAGTATCTTTTAATGGGTATGTCTTCCTCATCCTAAGTAAACAAGCTTGCCACTAATAAAAAATTTATTTGGTATGAACTATGGATGGATAATATGACATGAAAACAAGATACAGAAAATTTTAAGTTTCCTTAAAATGCAGTCTTCAGGATAAATGAGTAATGACTAATCTTAGGAGACAGTGTACAATAATCCAGCCAGGATCTGATGGAAAAGGGGATTAAACTTGAAAACACACTCTAAGATGTCCTTAGAAGCAGCAGAACATCCTTCAAACTGGGCAGCAGGAGAGTTCTGTATTTTTTATATTGGGAAATATCAGCATTTTAACTAAAAGTCAGGTGTCGCAGGGTTTTGTTTGAGTGTGTGCACCTCCGTGCATGTGAATGTGTGTGTGACAATTTATTACTAATTGCAAACATTAATTACAAATAATAACAAGAGAAATGCCACCTATTTCAGCCCCTGACTACTGTAATGACTGAAGGAAATTATTTTTCTTCAAGATTGAGTTAAAATGATAAAATTTATCAATGTAAAATAAGACTATCATTGGAAATGTATTGTTTTACACCTAGTTTTAACCAATACTGATTGTCAAACATTGATAATAGCTATACCTTAGTTGCAGATACTCTCTTTTGTATTCATAGTCAACACAAATATTAATTGTCACTGAACTGAAAATTTGCAATCCATGACAAAATTAAGTAAGCCCCCAAACTCTTCCAGTACATAATAAGAACGAATAATAAGAACGAATTCTGCTAATCAGGACTTTTTTTTTTTTTTTAAATTGTTTTATCTACCCTACTGAAGGATTTTTGCTGATTATTGCAAATAAGTGGCCTTTGAATCTGTCACAAACTGTGAAAGCTAAATAAATTTTCTAACCAGCTACAGATCTTTAAGCTAGTTTGACATCTGATAAAATGCTTAAATGTCTTTTTTTTTCTTCTGGTTAAACATTATAAAGGGTAATTGAATGATGTAAGATGCCTCACAAGGCTCACAGGGCTTTTTTAATTTTGCTATAGAATCCCACCACTAGGAATGCCAGAAAATTTTTATTAAAACTTGTCAGCACTTAATAATAATAATATACGTTTACATTTTAATAAATATCTTTTGGCATTGCCAACAGCATACCATGAAAGTAGTTTAAATATCACATAATTTTATAATGGTATTTTGGCAAGCAGTATACCTCAGTGTTTCAGGTGGACAGGCTCATATTTTAAAACCTTCCCCTGCAACTTGGAAGAACGTCAGAAATTTAGTTTTCATTTCCCTCAGAGCAAGAGTGGAATTTTATAGAATTCTCACTTACCACTAATAAGTTAGCCCAAGAGATGTTGTGGAAATATGCAGCAGTGTAATACATAAGCAATATGCTTTGCAGTAAGAACAGAAAGGGCTCACTAACAAGAAAAGAAACCAAAACAAAAGATATCTACAATCATTGCAGACCAAACCAAGCAACAAAGAGGGGAAATGCAAAATAGCACAAGCACAGGTTAACAACGTCAGGTTTTGGCATAATATTTTTAATGAAATACAAGCAACAAATGAGTTCCAGAATGCACTCAGTTAAAATATGTATAGCACATTATGCTCTCTCTAAACACAGGGCAAGCAAGAACAACAAAAGTTACATTAGAAGTGCTGTAATATTTTTATATTAAAAAATCCCTATTCTGAAGTTACCTTACTTCAGGCTGATTTTTTTAAGTAGACCTCTGCTTCTTGATGTCATAGTACAGGTAGAGAAAGGAATACAGATGATAAAATAAAGGTAAGTAATTTTTAATACAACAGACATAGGAGAATAGACTTGTTCCATTACAAAAACCCCACCACACTGAAAAAAAACCCCAAACCAAACCAAAAAAAACAACCACAAACCAAAAAGAAAACCCCACAGAAATCCCCACCAAAACACCAAAATCAAACTCCAAACTTTATGATCCTGGAAAGAAAACTGATCATTGTAAGGAACTGAAGGAAATAATGCCTCAAAAATTCATCGACACAGAAAGCCTCCAAGGACAAGCTGTGGCCTTTGGATTAGTCATGCAGGGAAGCAGGA